GTAGCTCCTCCTATACTTTCTGCCTAGGCAATCAGTGTTTTATTCACCAACCAATAAGAGAAACACATATACAGAAGGACATCTCCCATCACTAACACAGATATACATTCATAAATTTAGAAAACATATGGAGAAAATGCATGAAAGGAAAACTTGAGATTTGAGTGAATGGTTTCTAAGGGAGTCTCTACACCCTACAGTGTTGACATGTGCCAGGAGAAGGAAATATTCAGGCTGCGCTGGGGGAGAGACAGGCATGTACACGAAGGTGTGAGTCAGGGAGGCAATATATCATCTCTAGCATTGGAAGAATATTGCAGAAGCTTGGCGAAGAAGAAAAGTAACAGCCCAAGAGGCATGCAGGGCCCAGAGTGAGCCACATCTTGCATCTTAGAGCCTAAAATGGGCAAGAGCCCCACACCTTTTCCAACTTTGCAAAGGTCAAACGTGAAGCTGGCAGTTATGGTGTTCTCAGTTGTGCTAAAAGGACCCTCTGATTCCAGTAGTTTTAAATAGGGTTAGTCGTGAGAATCATGGTTTAAAAACAGAGCTGCTCTTAGGATATTTGAAAAAAAAACTCTATTAAATGAACTCTGATCAAACATTAACTGAACACAGGATAATATGGTGTCTTAGAGACGAGGGTATGAACAATCGGAGAGAAGGAGAGGGCTAGAGATACAGGGTCTGCCTTCAGAATGGTTGGATGCAGAAAGCTAGTCTAACATTCACATAAATGGGCAGATAGGTACAGAAGACCATCCCCAAAAAGTTTTCATTGTTTTGGGGAGATTCTCACATTTGAAGGCATTCCACATCCTTTCTTCAGAGCTCAGCCAGTAGGACGCTGTTCTAAACCGGGACCCAACGTTTGTTAGAGAGGGCTGTGGATAGATTGAGTGAATTGATTCCTCAGTTTGATACTTTCTGCTCACCTCCTTCTTTATGTTGGATAACTCTGCTATAGAAGGGATGAAGAAGGGGAACCTCTCCCTAACTGTTTTTGCCTTAGCAGCACTGGGGTCGGAACCCAAAGCTTCAGCAAAGCCCTGTACCACTGACCTGGTCCACATTTCTGTTTAGTTTGTTTTGCTTTGTCTTAAATACACAGCAAATTGGGCTACTGAGTTGCTAGTCTTGATGGGATGCGGTGGGGTAAAGGAAAGTAACATTAAAGACAGATCAAGTAGTTCTTGACTACCAGGTGAGGGAGGTTAGACTTTCTACATTACATTATACAGAAAATCCTGAATCTTGAGGTGTGTGTGTGTGTGTGTGTGTGTGTGTGTGTGTGTGTGTGTGTGTGTGCGCGCATAGCCAATCTCCTAATTAGGGACGTATACTGAAATGGATAATATTTTTTCTAATTATAGAAATTAATCTAGCACATCAAAGACACTAAGATCATTGTTCTATTCTCAACTTCCTTTGAGAGCTTGTGTATGCTCAGCCTGATACTTCCCTAGATTACTAGGCATTAGTCTCAAAATTAATTTCAGGTTAGCAATCTTTTGCTTCAGCCAGCATTCAGTGTGTCCAAACGAAAACAAGTGACATAGCGCAGCTTGCCCTCTGACCAGAATTCACTTCCTTCCCCGTGTCACACAATAGCTCTTGCTCACGTTTCCTGTGGTATATAAGGTCAAACAGTTGATGGCTTCTTTTTTTTTAAGAGCATGCTCAACATGGGTTTTTGACATTTCACCACAGCTCAGACATCTTCCACAGCAGATTTTAATAATATCTTGACCCATAACCTTTTGCTTCAAAATTGGTTTTGGCAAGAAATCAAAAGTAGGAGAGTATCTATATTAAATATTGATTTTTTAAAGGATCTCTTTTTTTTTCTTGCCCTTTCTTCTAAGAAGGTAAAAGAAGACAACAAAGGGGTTAATAACCTTTTAAAACTTCACCCAAATTTTTCCCCTTTATCTTTATTCTTTGACTTATAATAGTACAGTTTGGGTAATATTTAATCTCACAACTACAAATATGTACCAAAACATTTTTAATAAAATTAATTAACTTACAAATTTGACTTTGAGATACTCTATCAAGGATGAGTTTAATCCAAAACAAAACACTCTGGATGGTGGTGATGCATGCCTTTAAGCACTCAGAGGGAGGCAGATCTCTGTGAGTTCAAAGCCAGCCAAGGATACACAGAAAAGCCCTGTCTTGAAAAAAAAACAAAGCTAAAAGCAAAATATAATTTGAAGTAATAAATTTGGAAAGAAAATCTCTCTTATTATAATTATTGCTATTATTATTAAATATTACTATTACTATTTGGTCTTAAAAGGAATCTTGCTATCCATCACAAATTGGCCTCAAGTTTGTAATCCTCCTGCATGAACCTCCAGGGCACTGAGATTACAGGTGTGCTTCACTGTGCCCAATTTATTATTTCAAATTTTTAAGGGTGTATTTTATTTTTTATTTAATTTAGAAATAATCTTATTTTACATATCAATTCTAGTTCCCTTTCCCTCCCATCCTCCCATGCCTCCCACTGACACCCCTCCTCCAGTATCCAGGGAAGGTGAAGCATTCCATGAGGGATCATTAAATCTGTCACATCATTTGGGGAAGGACCTAGACCCTCCCCCAGTGTATCTGGGCTGAAAGAGTACCTCTTCATGGGAAATGGGTTCCGAAAGTCCATTTGTGCACTAGGGATAAATTACTGGTTCCACTGTCAGAGGTCCCATAGACTGCCCAGGCCTCCTAACTGGCACCCACATTCAGAGCACCCACGATGCTGGTTCCCCAGCTTTATGACTGGGGTTCGTGTGCTCTCACCTGATCAGGTCAGTGGGTTTCCTGTGAGTTTCTCTAGCATGGTCTTGACCCTTTGCTCATAACTCCTCCCTCTCTACAACTGTATTCCAGAGTTCAGCTCAGTGCTTAGCTGTGGGTGTCTGCTTCTACTTGCATAAGCTACTAAATGAAGGCTCTAGGATGGCATATAAGGTAGACATCAATCTCATTATAAGGGAAGGGCATTTAAGGTAGCCTCTCCACTATTGCTTAGGTTCTTAGTTGGGGTCATCCTTGTGGATCTCTGGACATTTCCCTAGTGCCAGCTTTCTCTTTTAAGGGTGCATTTCCATTGCACATTGTACTAGTTTCATTTCTGTTGCTGTGATAAAAACACCCTGACCCAAAATCAACTTAGAGAAAAAAGGATTTATTTCGGCTCTGATTCTAAGTTATGGTCTATTATTGTGGGGAAGTCAAGGCAAGAAGCGGCATATCTATCATCTCCAGTCAGAACACAGAGCAAATAAATGCTTGGACCTCTGCATGTTTTATTGCTAGCTGTCTCCATGCTGACACAGTTCAGAGACCAACCTAGAGGACAGTGCTGCCCATCTTCAGAGTGGACCTTCCCAAGTCAATTAACTCAGTTAAGAAAATCTCTCTTACCAATGCCCACATGCAACCTAATCAAGACAATCCCTCACAGAGTCTGTACCCCCGCCCCCCGGTGATTCTAGATTGTGAAGATGAGGAACATGGGCACGATTCCACAATCAACAGGAATATAATCCACTTTCTGTAGAACTCTTTCATTTGTCAGATATTGGGCACATTGACCCCTGCCGGGTCAATGCAGCTACAGTGTGCTACCAGAGCTCCCCTCCAGATTTCATATTGATAATGGGACAGGATTTGGAGAATAAATTATATTGTACAACTGGCTCCTAATCCAAAGAAGCTGCTTCAAAAATAGGGGAGTGAAAGGGCTCTTCCAACATGAACCCTGAGTCAAGGTTATGCCAAGTCAATAGCCAAAATGTCTCTGGTAGGAAGCAGAATGGGAGACTCACCCGAATCCTGCCATGCTGGCCCGCTATGGTTAGCTTCAAGCTCCAGAACTCTGAGAAAGTCAATTTCATTGGCAAAGCCTTGCAGATTGATACCTGACATTAAGAGTTGGTGGTTACCCTATTTGTCTCCATGGTGTGGATAGGGAAACAAATTAGTAGGTTAACAGCACAGGCCATTTGAATCTAAGGGTGTCTCTATCAGCCCGCTCTTCAGCTTTCCCTCTGAATCAGGAATTAGCAAATATTGAACTAACTTCTCGAAAATTCCCCAACCTCCGGCTGTTGTTTTTCTTTCAATTTTCTAGGTTTAGCAAATACACAGGAAACCAATGAACCATTCTCCCTCCTTGTCCCCATCATTTGGGTTTTGTGTTTTAGCAAGAAGCTATTACCTAAGATCGCAGAATTCTACGTTGAGAATTGAAAGGAAAAATTACTGTCAATTTCCCTGAAATCTAAATAAACCCAGGATTTGCTCTGGCTGCATTTGCTTTCTGTTAAACATCATAAACACAAAATAAGCAGTGTTGTGCCTGAAACTAATTGGCAGTGTCCCCAGTGCCATATTACAGCCAGCTTCTATTAATTGGATTAGGGATTTGGTGAGAATGGCAGCTGGTAGAGGCTTTGTAGTTACTGTGAGTCTCTCTATAATCCCTGCAGCAGGAATCACCATGTAACAATATCAGAGGGTGGCTGTGATTGGGCTCAGGCATTTGTTTTCCTTCTTTTGGGAAGACGTGTGTGTGTGTGTGTGTGTGTGTGTATGTGTGTGTGTGTGTGTGTGTGTGTGTTGCATATGTGTGTTCACATTGTGGGAACTCATGTGTTTATGTGTGCATGTGCACATGGAAGGTCAAAGGTTGACACTGGATGCCTTACTTAGTCCCTCTTAACCTTCCATATCTAGTCAGGGTGTCATACTCGAATCTAAAATTTGCTCATTCCACTAACATACAGCTTGCCCAGAAGGTCCTCTGTCTTGATTCCTGCATTTTGGGGTGACTCCAGGTCACCTGGCATTTACACAGGTATATGGGGTCTGACATTAGGTCTTTGGGTTGTACACCAAGCACTATATCTGCTGAGCCAACTCCTTGGTCCCTTCCTTATTTTTTCTATGAAAATTTAAAAAAAAGAAGTTAAACTCACTTTCTCCCATTTCAGGGTTTCTCCGGCCATCTTTTTATACCTGATCAACATCATGCCATCCTTGTGGCTCCTTGAAATGCACCATGGAAACCAGGTACTCATTTCTTTAAAGCAAAAGACAGTCATGTTCAGCAACCATCCACTTTCAGAATAGGACATGATTTGTTTCAGTTATATGCTTTCCCAAGGGTTTGGAATTATCTAGGATTGAAGAAACAAGAGACCAAGGACAAAAGACAGTGATATCATAATCTATCAAAAACAAATGAAATAATCACAATCACTTCTGAGTTATGCTTATTTAACTAGCACTTGTGGGTGATTATCTTAGTCAACCTTCTTCTATTGCTGGGGTTAAAATCATGACCCACAGCAACTGGGGCAGGAAAGGGTTTATTTGGTTTATATGCCTAATCACAGTCTACTGAGGGAAGCCAAAGCTGAAACACAAGCAAGGCAAGAGCCTAAAGACAGGAAATGAAGCTGAGGCCATAGAGAAGTGCTGATTACTGGCTTGCTCCTCACGGCTCACTCACATTGCTTTCTTTAGTAAAAGGTGAAAGATTTATATGATCTGAAGAGAAGCCAGAGTATGTCAGATTGCTTTCTTACAGAAGCCAGGACCACCCGCCCCAAGAGTTGCACAGTTCATAGTGAACTGGGCTCTTCTACCCAAATCACCAATTAAGAAAAATGTCTCACAAACTTGCCTACAGGCCAGTCTGATGGGGTCATTTTTTTTCTGTTGAGTTTCCCTCTTCTCACGTGACCCTTCTCAGATGGTATCAAGTAGACAATAAAATGAACCAACCAGTACAGTGATTTTCTTCTAAGATCCACCCTCCTTTTCCCACCACACGCTAGCTAGAGTTCATAGCGTGATGTGAAAATGATATATGTATTTCTTTATGTCTGTATGCATATGTGTGGATGTGGTGTATGTATATGTGTCTGGTATACATGCATGTGCATATCTGAAACTCTATTCTTTCTGCAGAAGCCAACAGAAGGCATAGGATGTTCTCCTCTGTCACTCTCTGCCAAATTTCCTCAAGGCAAGATCTGTCACTGAACTCTGTCATCAAGCACAGGGATTCTCCTATGTCTGTCCCTGCCTGTTCTAGGGGTCACGGGATCACGCAGAAAAGTGAAGCTTTCCTATGGATGTTGGGAATTTGTACTCAGGTCCTCATTCTTGCACAACCGGTACTTAGCCACTAAGCCATCTCCCTGTCTCTGCGAATATAATTTAACACTTGCAGGTCCAGGGGTGTTCCAAGAAGTTATGCTAAGAGTCTCATTATGTTAAGGCCTCTTCTGGCATTATTGGGAAGATATTTTTAAGAAATACAAAGTAAAAATGAAACTATATTGTAAAAAAAAAGCCTTTATCTATGCTCACATGAATGCATCCAACTTCTAGGGACCATTGAAAACACAAGAGAAGTAGATTCCAGGAGACACATCATAGTAAAACAGAAATCTGTGGGAGGAGCAGCACTTGCTGCTCTTGGAGAAGACTGGAATTCAGATCCCAGAACCCACAGTTGGCTGTTCACAACTGCCTGTAACATTTCCAGGATATCTAATAATGCCCTTTCCTGGCCTCTACAGGCAACAACATGCATGTGGGTATGCACAAGTGCACACACGCACGCACACACACACAGAGACACACACACACACAGACACATACACACAAACACTTAAAGTAGAATTAGAATAAAATCTTCTAGGGCGCTGATATTAAAGATAAGAGAGTGATATCATGGAGCCCATCATAGGGAATGGTACCATACATATCCAACCGTAAGGAAAATGACGCCATTTATGAAGCAGTTCCCATCACTCATGTTTGCTTTCATGAGTCACAGTCTAACCTGATATTTGCTATGTAACCCAGGCTGGCCCTGAACTTGAAGTAACCCACCTGCCTCACCTTTTTGAGTTCAGACATTCCCCAGCATACCTGACTTATATAATGTTCTAAACATTGACCTACTTCCTCGGTTGACTTGTCTGGCTCACAGGCTCAAGACTGAGCCTGTCACTTTTTTTTTTAACTCTCCTGTAGGAGCCTTGGAAGTTTCAATGATAAAATAAATGCTTCAGGCAAGATTTGCTCAAAATTGACCCTGTATAGATTTCTTTTCTACAGCTGTTATTTTATATCGAGGTTGCGTCTCCAATTTATATGTAACTCTATCTGAAAACGCTTCCTGCAAACTTGAAGCACAAAGAGAGTAATTTACTTTTGTGGATCGCTTTTGACAAAACTCCCAAGCAAATGTCAATCATGTAGCCATGAAGAAAACATTTCTCCTCCTCAAACCTCTTGCTGAAATTCATTAAAGTCTGAGCAACCTCAATGTCTGCATTAGAGTGTTTTCATAACTGTAGATTGGTTGATTCAAGTCACCATGGCTTTGATAAAAAGACCACAAAGAGCTAGAGGGCCACTTGAGTCTCCTTTCAGGACTATGAAAATAAGCTGTGGCGATTTAAATCAATTTACCCTCTACACATCCAATTCTATGACATGGCTATCATCCACAATAACAATTTCTCTCAAATGCTTTCATAGTATAAATGCATTATAAAGCTAATTGATATACAGGTCAAATGCCATTACAACGAATAGGATGCAACCAAAAACTCTTTTTAGTTTGTGTGTGTTTGTGTGTGTGTGTGTGTGTGTGTGTGTGTAGAGAGAGAGAGAGAGAGAGAGAGAGAGAGAGAGAGAGAGAGAGTTTTGAGCTTTTGAGCCTTGGGCAGAACTTCTGTGATTTTCATACTACAAAAGAAATCGAAACTTTATTGCTGTGATTTGACACTGAAAATTAAAATGAATATCCAGGGATTGGAGCAGACAGGGCAAGCAGAGATGGAAGTAGAAAAAGAGAGACAGAAATATTGGGATTATATTTAGAAAAATAAGTGGCTTTTCGGAATTGAGGGAGACAGAGAAATCCCCTCTGTCCTCTGGTTGTTGTGATAGTCACTTTTGTTTCATAGAACCTGACATTTCACTAAGTTTTCAGATAGATTTTCTCACTTGGAGATTTAAAGACCCCATACATTAGGTGTGGTGCAGATGTTTCTGTTATATAAGAGGACACCCTGGAGCTTACCAGGCTTAAATTCAGAGCCAACACCCGGTCCAGAAGAACACACTCTCTAATGCCTAATGTCTCAGGGAAGCTTGCATAAGGTTTTTCCATGATGGAAAAGAATCATTTACTTTTCACTTACAAAACTAGAGAGATGGATGGATGGATCAGCGGTTAAGATTACTTGCTGCTCTTGCAGAGAACCTGAGTTCAGGTCTTGACACCCACAACATCCTGTAACTCCAGCTCCAGGAAATCTGACACCATATTCTGGCCTCCTCAGTCACTTGCAGGCATGTGGCATAAAAACTCAGACACACACACACACACACACACACACACACATATACATATACACATCATTAAAAGTAAAAAAATACTTGCTCCCATTCATATCCATTTATTTACACCCCAGTTGTTCTAGATGACCCATTTCATACCTTCATTCTTGAAGTAATGTGGTCTACACACATGTAAACAAGAATGCCCTAAGGATTTCAATTCTAACCATGTGTGAGCTCTGCTTGTGACAGAGCTCACTGAAAGTGATGGGAATGCCCTGCTCCTCCTGATATCCTTGCTAGCTTTGAATCAGACATATTATAGGTTTTAATGACAGAGCCATACATAAGGAACTTCATAAAATCCCTTGTATGATGATGCCTACTAAAACGATAGACACAAAAGCAGAGCAAAGCAAATTAGGGCTGAGGAGTCAACCCCCTATTTGTGGCAGCCTTGATGTGCAAAGGAAGGTTCCACCAATCTGAAACTGAGTAACAAGGAGAGGATCTCAATTAGCACCATGATGCACATGCAAAGTTGTTTGCTTTCATGTTAGAAGGCACTGACTCAGAGGGTGTCATTTACCTTTGGTAGCAAGTTGTTTATGGAGTTTTAGAGATAAAGGTATCAGAGCCTATCACCTCACCACTTTTAAAACACAGTATATTTTCATGCCTATTTAAAAAAAAAGGTGGTCAAAATTTTGTCTGTAGTGACAGTTTCATAGGCTCACAAAGTTACTCTGCAAAAGATGATTTGGTTTTGGATCAAAGATTAAATGTTTTATCTCTATTATTTCTTCTCTAAAACTTAGTGGCATGCATGTATACACATGTGCACATGTGTACATGTACATACAACATACACACATGTACATACACTCACATGAACATGCACACAATCATGCACACATGTAAACACATGCACATATTTGCACTCACATTCACATACATACACTAACTTTAAATTGCTTTGTACACACATACATACATGCACATTCACACACATACACACAATCACACGTAGTATGCAGACCCCTAATCATGTTATTTCTTACAACATTAGTCACCTAGGTTGAGAGCAGAAAATAATGGCTTCTTGGCAGACTTTACTGTCTACTTGTCAAATGGCTTATGGAATAAATGGCATGGTATCGAGAACAACAAAGAAAAAAATCACTTCTTATAGCTCTAGCTCTTTTCCCCCAACAATTTCTCTCTAAAGAAATGTGTAGTCATGGAGTATGGTTGGTGGTGATGGTGGTGATTGTGTTAATAGTGGCAGTGATGGCCAATGGAAATAGTTCTCTTTCTCTGTGTCCCTCTGTCTCTCTTAGTCCCCCTCTCTTTGTGTCTCTTTCTCTGCCTGTCTCTCTGTGTCTTTCTCTGTCTCTCTATTTCTGTCTGTCTCTGGCTCTCAACTGTGTCTGTGTAAATGTTTATAAAACATGCAAGCACTGCCAATGCTTAGAAAGGGTCAACAATCGCTAAAGCCAGTCAAGTGTTGTCTCTTTGTCATCTCATAAATTTTTCCACCTCATATTCTATCGCAGTTTCCCAATATCTGGTTAGCTAAGATTATAGACCATTTGTTTGAAGAAATTCATGTACAGCATGAAGGAAATTATCTTTTAGGTCAATTATCAAATTTCCCACAGTCCTAGGTTGGCTTAGTAGCAGCGATGGTGTCTGGGACACTGGATGAACTGACTTGTTGTACGTGCCAAGCCTGGCCTGAAGGGTGAAAGTAATTGGATTATTTATTTAACTGGAATGTTATTTTTAGATAGAGAGCTTTCTTGGTAAGAAAGCAAACTCACAAAATAAATGTCTTTTCAGAGTTTGTACACAATTGTTCCGACAAAGGTTCAAGAAAGGGACTCCAGTTACTACCCTGTAGATTTTACAGCTTTCTGTGGTGGTTCAGCATCTGCATCCCTCATGCTGTGGGAAAGGGGGTCTGGCAGTGAGCACTCTCCTCAGGTGCCTCCACCTCATATTCTGGTCTCAGGCAATGTGTGCACGGTTTCTGGAAGTGTCCCACGTCTTCATCATCTCTTTCACGGAGTGAAGCTGCTTTGCTGTTACTTTGTTGTGATAATTTCTTCATACCGGCCCTCCATTCTTAGTATTGCAGTGCCCAACCTGAGAAACCAGCACAGAACTTCAGCAGAAGAGGAGATGTCAATCTAACTCTGATGTCCCATGGACTCACCAATGGAATGGGAAATATCCTTGAGCTGGTGAGAGCTTTCCCCACCATTTATGATTGCTTTCATAAAGTTGCAAGTTTTGGGCACAAGAATTGTACAAGAAGACATATTTCATACATTAAACCCATATTACCTTCATGATCATGTACATTAAGAACACAACTCTTACAACAAATGTATAGAAACATTAAAACATATCATATTACAGCATACTAACTATATTGTCACAAATTTATGTGCTCTAATTATGTCTATACTTTATATGTAGTTGTGTATAATAATATCTTCCTTTAATCAGAGTAAATTAAAATTTGCAACACAACTGAGAGGAAGGTAGCAGGATTAACTGTATACCTCTTTATCTCGAAGATACACAATCTCCCCTCTTGCACCTTGGTTGTATATTAGTTTAACATATGTATAGATTTTAGGTAGGGTATCACACAGCCCAGGTTGTCTAAAGACTCACTATGTAGCTGGTAATGACTTTGAAGTTCCGATCTCTCTGCCTCCACCTTCCCCATGCTAGGATTACAGGCATGTACTACCACATCATGTAGTGGTGCTAGGGGTTGGATCCAGGGCCTCACACATTCTAGGCACTCCACCAACTGAGCTATATCCACAGTCTGGATATGTTTAATCAAAATTGATGAACCTACATAGATGTGTCATTGTCACTGAATGTCTACAGTTTAAATAAGATGATGTTCTATGGATTTAGACACATGTATTACAGTATTGATCCAAAATGTGTGCTTGCCTATCAATGACCCTCCCTTTTCCACACACCTCAGCCACTTTTGACAAGGGAGCTCCCTTCCCTCTCTCCCTCTGTCTCCCTCTCCATCTTCCTCTATCCCAGTGGGCTTCACCTGTGGATCATGATCTCTTTGGGGTTCGACAACACTTTCACAGGAATGACCTAGGATCATCAGAAAACAGATATTTACATTACAATTAATAACTAGCACAATTACAATCATTAAGTAGCAACGAAAGTACATTTATGGGTGGGGGTCACCACGATGTAGGAACTATATTAAATAGTCACTGCATTAGGAACACTGAGAACACTGCTCTATCCTTTCCTCCAGGCCTTCTTCCCTTCTTACCCCTCTTCTACCTCTACCTCTCCCTCTCTCTGTGATGCAAGAGATCAAGTCTGTGGTTCTACACGTGCTAGGCACATCCAGTCACTGAGTAGTATCCCCTAAATAGGCCTATGTATACATCTTGTCTATTACCCTCTAGTTGAATTTTATGGATCTTCATATGTTTTGGATAGCAGTCTTTTCCATGTGTCTCTCTTGAAAATATTTCTCCTAGTCCTTTATTTCTCAAGCCTTTTACAGAGCAGCAAAATTTAGCTTCAGTGAAGATCAGCTTACTAATTCTTTTTCAGATTTTAGATAGTGTATCCAAAATCACCTTCATAGCACACATCATCTGATATATATATATATATATATGTATAGATATAACATGTATCTTAACATAAAGGTACATATAACATATATGTACTTAAACATTTTCCTAGATTTGTAACCAAGTGTTTTATTTTTCTCAGTGACAATGTTATTCTGAATTTTAGCTTAAATATCTATTTCTTTACTAGTATACAGAAAGAAAATTGACCCTTGAATATCAACCTTTATTCTACAATTTGTTTATTAATTCCAGGAAAGTTTTTTTCTTTTTTCCCCCACCAATTCTTTAGGACTTTCTACATATGAACGCATGTGATAGTTGAAAAAAGGCAATTCTATTTCTTCCTTTCCAATGAGCATAACTCTTATTTTCTTTTCTTATTTTATTACTGTATCTGGGATTATATAAACATATTCATTTTATATATTCATAGCATATAATATTCATATAATAGAAAATGGATTTGCCAAAATACAATGACATGGTGGTTCTTGTTTCTTCACACATCTTATATTTAGCAAGTTGATAATGACCTGTTTGAAAAGTTTACAGAAGGGACTCAAGACAATCAAAGGTGTCTACCAACAAAAAAAAATGTTTTCTAAAATAAGATACACTATTGAGCTCCAGAGTAGAATAGAGTGATGCATGCATTAACACATAAGTTCCAGTTAGAAATTACCTGTGTCATTGTGGATATGTTAGTCATTTTTTCATCTTAACTAAAATTGTAATATTTATTCTGATAATGCATTGCCCTGTGAGTTACATGAGCTGTATGTTAAGCCTCACAGGAGAAACATCAAGAAAAAAATGACAAAAACTTCTTGATCTTCCTACATGGATTGAGTCGAAACCTCTTCTTCATTAATCACTCTCTTCCTTTGTACTGTAGATTTGGTATGAACAACTGATCAAAAGGTGTACAACAATTTTGCACATAGCTATGCTGTTTGCAGAGGTCACCTAAATTCATTAAATATGTTAGCCTAAGCCAGTAGTAACATACTTTGAAGTTTACTTAGAAATTAAATGGGAAAGATACTCCAGGATATATTAGGAGATTTAGGTTTTTCTCAAAACCTAAGAGTAAAAGCAGACTAAATTTTTCTTGCTGAATTATGGATTATTGAATACTATGCTATGTATTCAGAGTAAAGATAAGAAATATTATTCTCTTCATTAAGTAAATAGATAAACACTACTTTTTTCTGGTTAGAGTTTTAAAGTGATGATGAACAAAAGGAAGATTGTGTTAGGCTAAAATTGCAATGTTAGTAAATTTAGATTTAAAATCAGTAAAAGTAAATATTGAATTTTAATACAGAACTCATCAAAGTTTTCTATGTGTTATACTTTATTTTGGAATATAATAAAATACATAACGATCCTTAAAACATTACATTGGTCCTTTAACTATTACAAGGTATCATCTTACTAATGGTATAAGACTGAAATTAACCACAGGCTAAGTAAGTCCTACCTTAAGGAACCCATTATGTTTCCTTTTTAGAGTGTTTATCTAAAAGGAGTGCTATTTTCCTTAGTAAATGAAGAATGACTTTTAGAAAATGTTGACAAAAGCACACTGTTGACTGAAAGCCATGTTGAAGTAGACAGCCTTCTACACACTGATGGTTCCTAACGGTGACGTCTGTGGGTCCTCTCTGTTCAACAGGCCTTGGGGTTCGTAGATAACTTATCCATGGTATGTGAACCAGTCTGGACTCTAGGACTCCATCAAACACTGCTGTTAATATTGATCATTGGACGGTGGCTTCTGCCCATTGGAGGCACTATTACAAGAGACCAACTTTCAGAACTTCTTTTGATATTTGTGGGGACAGCGGCAGACATACTGGAATTCACCACTGAGACTCTAAAGGAAAATGAGGTCAGGTAAGATATGATTCTAAGTCAGCACCACACTGACTGTCTCATTGTCTCTAATTTGTACTTTGCGTGAATATGGTTTTTAAAGATATCTTTATGCCAGGGCAAGAGAGATGACTTTTTTAGTAAATTGTTTGCCATGCAAACATCAGGACCTGAGTTTGGATCCCTAATTCCCATGTAAATACTAGGCATGGTGGTGTGTGTCTATGATCCCAGCACTGGAGATGTGGAGAATCTCTGTGGCTCATTGGCTAGCCATTCAAGCCAAATCAGTAAACTCCAGGTTCAGTGAAAGACCCAGATAGTAAGGTGAAGACTGATAGATGAACACACCCAACATCAAACCTCTGGGTTCATGTGCACTTACGCACATATGCAAGCACATCAGCACAGGCACACCCATGAACATGTATTCACAAATACACCACACATACCATCTACACACACACGCACACACACACACACACACACACACACACACACACACACACACGATTTAGATACATCCTAGAAGCCAGGCTTTATAGTAAAGAGGGAAATGGAGGAAGGGGGCTTTTTCTGAGAAAGGGACAGGCTATATCCAGCCTGGATTAGAATAGATCACCATATATTGGCACCAGCAGTTCAGGAGGATCAGGGAGGAGCCACAGTGACTATAGGTATCTGAAGACCCTCTGGTGTCTCATCTTCACACAGGTGTCAGGAGTATAGCAACATTTTCTCTTAGGTCACAGCATAGTTGCAAAAGACGTAGAGGAATTGTCCCTTTCTGTGGCTGAAGAATTTACATTTCCTGGTGAGAAGAGAGAATGGAGCAGATGAAGTTTTATTGTATGAAATTTTGTATTTAGTCAGTTTTGTTCAAAGCGCCCGAAGGCTTTCTGGTGGAGATGCCTATAAATTAAAACTTATTGAGTTGGTACTTTTATTTTTGCCACAAGCAAGTAAAGTCAGAATCCATGATCACATCTGTTTATGGAGACACTTTCTTCCCATTAGGGATTTGAGTCCCCGCGCCTGAATGTACTTTAAGCTTGGGTTGTTTTGTATGATGCTATAAAAATAAATTGGAATGAGGCTGGCTTTTAATGCTACAGTTTACTTTATCCCGCACTCTTCAAACAACATAGCATAAAGCCTGAGCAAAACACAGCAACTTATTGAATAAATTTAATTTCTCAATTATAGTCTGAATCATTATTTATAAGCAGGGTATATTTTTACAAGAACACTCATTGTTTTGTGCATAATAATTTTTCTTTTAGTTTATTAAGTTGACAATCATTTTTTGAGGACTCCAATATGAATTGGATCACTGTAGTCATAGTGTTTATTTTAGTCTTGTGGTGTCAATGCCTTATGTTGATCAGCACTTTACATTGCATAATACTTTCAAATTTGTTTAAGATAATTATACTACGACGCCATCACTAGAAGAACATGAATGGATTATGACAGAGCACATGAAATAATGAATGTGGATAGTTACAGAGACATGACACCAAGACGGTAACAAATTACCCCTATCTGGAAATGAATGCGTACATGCTAAATATCTACAGAGAACAGAAACAACACAGGGTAGTAAAAGGGATAGGGGAGGGATATGCTTTATGGAGCTAGTCATAAAATGAGAAAAATGCCAAACCTAGTTACCTTAATGGGCTCTATGAGTCCCATCCTGAAGTATCATCAAAGAGTAATGTATCCCGTGTTTACCAATAAATGTTGATTATTAAATAAGTTTATTTAATTGCTTGACCCATAAAAAGGACCCTTGGAAGTCACTAGGCATTGTTTAATTGACTAAGAACCGGTTTGTTATGTAACATGTGCCAGGTACTGTGTTGGGCAGAGCCTGGGGAGCAAAACCATCATAAGCATGTTATGAACAAAAGACCATGCAGTTCAGCCAGAACGGGATTGTTTTAGTCCAGCAAGAATTTAGGGAGCACTTGATGTTTCAAAACACCATCAATCCCCAATTTTTTTCTGTCACTTACAGTTCAGTTTGAATACTCTTTGAGTATATATTTTGGAAAAATTGAACTTGCATGAAATGCAAGTTGATGCTTAAGGGAGCTGAATAAATTATAGTTGGCCCTTGTATCTGCAGGCTTCTCATCCATGGACAGAAAATATTCTAGAAATGGTTTCAAGTTTATTGCAGGAAGTGTGTGGATTATATGTTAATAATACACGATGTTTTATAAGAACTTGAATGTCCTGCAAATACCATCTCATGGATAGTATAGGAGTTTTGTTACAGCTGCTATTTTAAAATATTGTTTCAATTGTATTTACTGAAATTGAAGTCATTTTGTTTAGAAGATTCCTGAACTGTGCCAGTGGCCTTTTGCAATCTCCCATCTACCCCCTTGCACTTCCATAACTCCAGCACTATTCACCCCCATGGTCAAGTTCTAGAATGCATCTAGAGATTTTCCTCTCTTCAAACAAGTTGTTTCCACATTCTAAGTTCCTGTCTCAGGTCTTACCTATATTTTAAGAAATGAAGAAATGTTACTCAAAATTTCGAGTGTGTGTGTGTGTGTGTGTGTGTGTGTGTCTGTCTGTCTGTCTGTCTGTTCAGAACAAGGGACTGGATCCCATGGAACTGTAGTTACAGATGGTTGTTAGCCACTATGTTGTGCTAGTATTTGAACCCAAGTCCTTATCTGCTGAGCCACTCTCCAGCCCCACAATGATGTGTTATGAATGGCATGGATTTATGTAATATAATGTACTGATTTTTCTCTTATGGGTCTTGCTTCTTGGTGGCACATATGAGAAATAAGAATAAATCTACAATAAGACACATGTTCCCTTTTCTACGTATGGAACTTTTTAGCTGGTGTGTGTGTGTGTGTGTGTGTGTGTGTGTGTGTGCGCGCGCGCGCGCGCGTATTTGCTTTTGATTTAATTTTCTGTACATGTGAAGCAAACTTGCCAGTTCATAATTGTCTCAAAAATATTTGTTGAAAATGCTCTTTCTGAGTTCAGCTACCACATTTACTCAAATCAATTGAGTCCAAGAGTGCCAAGGAAGCACATGTTTGTCTTCATACCAACATCACATGATTGTCGCTGTAGCTTATGATGATTTTTGAGGTAGAGTAATCTAATGTGGCACTACTTTCTGAAAGTATTTCTTCTGGTGTCCTAAGGCCTTAGCATATCCACATGGCTGTGATTATGTTGCTAAATTTTATGAAGAAAAAACACACTAAAGGAAAACCTTGTGCTCTTGGTAGGAAGTGAAGTAGCTTTAAGGATCACTTGGGGAGGTTCTTCACATTATGAAATTTTCTCATCAGTGAAGGTGAAAAGTCTAAACTTAAATACTCTTCAATTCACCTCTGCTTCTCCAGTCTTTCTCTGCTTTCTACATGGTTCCCCTGCACCTTTTATTATTTCTTATATTCTTTCTAATGGAATGTTTTTTACTTTTATTTTCTAATTTTTAGTTGTGTTAGTAAAGACATATTTACCTACATAATGATTTTTGTAACCAGCAATGACACACAAAATTTGCTGATTTTGTTTTATGTCTAGGCTTTATTATGTGCTAGATCATGCTGTTCATTAACAAGGTACCCTGATCGTTGCCATTCTACATTCCGTGAATTCCTTTTCCTTGTCTTATTCTATTACCTAGTAGCTTTCCTCTATGTTGGACACAGGTAGTGGGATTATACATTTCAATATCCAGAGACGAGCCTTCTGTCTCCCTCTGTTAAGGATGGCATTGGCATTAGACATACAAGACTATCCTTATTAACTTGAAGAAATGTCTATCTTTAGATTATTGAGAATTTGTCCCTATGTGTATTGAATACCATGAAGTCTGCCTTTATTAATATGATTTTATTTTGGTTGCCCTTTATTATTTAACAGTTTTCAGACGTTAAACCACCTTTGATATCAGTATAAATTGAACTTAGTTGTGCTGCATAATCCTTAATACCATGCTTTTTGCTCTGATTTACCATCTTTTGTGACTTCTTCTGTCTTGTATATGTTTCCCAGTATAGCCTCTAACAGTGCCTTGTGTGGCTTTTGAATCAGGGTAACACAGGCTTTTAGAAACATCCCAGGAAGCATCCTCTCTATTTTTATTTTCTGAAAATGCGTTTTGCATAATTGATATTATTTCTTTAAAAATTTTTATGGAATTCACCAAGGAAGCAATCTGGGTCAAGCTTTTATGGACGCTGTTTCCTTTTCCTTTTCTTCTTCCACTCTCTTCTCTTCCTCATCTCGCTTTGTTTTCTCTTCATTGCATCTAATTACTAATTCAATATCATCACTTCCTCTAGGACTAATTATACACGTAACATTTCTCTGAGGTTAGTATGTGCTGTTCTTTCTAGGGTATTTTTTCCTCTTTCATCGTAGTCCAGCTTTTGCGATGAAGTTATCCTACTGTTAATATACATGTGTTCAGTTCTGTGGAGTCAGGGGTGAACCCTCTTTTTCATTCCTGGGTTTAAGTGCTTGTTCATTCCCTTTACTTTTGCCTAATGGGAGATGGGCATGCTTACTTGTTGCAAGAGAATTGCTGTTTTTTTTTATTATTACTTTTCTAAACAAACATCTTAGGGTTTTTAATGACTTGATTGATATTCTGTTTTTACATTTTATTCATTTCTGCTCTGATGTTTGAGTTTTCTTTCTTTCTTATTATTGCTTTGAACTATTTGCAGTTTTTCATTTCTTACTGAAGCCTTAGATTACTAATCTTTCTTTTCTAGCATAAGCATCTATAGACATATGTTTCCTCTTAACATTCTATAAATTTTGATGTGTTAGCCCTTTATTTAATATCATTCAAAATATCCTCCAGTTTTTCCTGACATTTCTCCTTGGCTTGTTATTATTTGTAAGTGAGGTGTTTTAGTTTCTAAGTAAATTAAGATTCCTCAAATTTCTTTACTTTGTTTTTATTTCAGTTCCTTTTTAGTGTGTTAAATACAGTTAAAATTTGTTCAGTATTGTAAACT